CCGCAGCGCTCGCGCTGCTTTTCCTCGCAAATGCGACAAGTGAGGCCGCTGAAAGGGAAAAGAATGATGGCGTCCAAGAAAAACCACAGTCGAAAACCGCAAATGCTGCCGCTCCTGGTGAGCGCCAGCGCGCGCCGCGTGCAGGGCGTGTCCGGGGCGCCCTCCCCCCGAGTTCCCCCGCAAAATCCGGCCCGCGGTCGCGCGCGCGCCCCGTCCCGCTGCTTTGGAGGAGTCTGCAGCCCCCGGCGCGCCCGCACGGCGATTGCCGCCTCCACTCCAACCTCATCCACTCTCACTCTGACATTCTCTCCAGAGTCCTCGCGTCGAGCCCGTGGCGCCGGAGCGCGAGCCCCAAGCTCGGGACACAGCGGGACATTGACGATCTGCGATGCCTGTGCGTGCAGGTGATCACGCGGAGCACGGCGCCGGCGGTGGCACCCTTCCTGGTGCTCCAGGCGCGCTGCGCCCGCGCGTTTGCGACGCCCGTGTGTGCCCCTGCGCGCGCCCCGCTCGCCGCGCCGCCGCCGGGCCCGTGGGGGTCTCAGGTTTGCGCGTGTGTGCCGCAGATGTCACGACCGAGGAGCTCCAGTAGATCCTCCATAACGTGCAGGCCGAGCTTGAGCGGCGCGCGGCGCTGCAGCGCGGGGCGCCCGAATCGAAGCGGTGCGTGCCCGCCCTCGCCGTGGCCGCGCTCGCCCCGCCTTGGCGAGCTCTTGCCGCGCGCGCGCCGCAGGAACTCGATCTTGTGCGCCTCGGGCAAGGCGTTGCCCAGCGAGGCGGAGGTGCACGCATGGGCGCTGCTCGTGCTGCTACATGGCCGCGGCGCGGACGGCTCGTGGGTCGCCGTCCCGACGCTCGTCGACCAGTGGATGAACGTCGTGCTGCTGCAGTCGAGCCGCTACGAGCAGGCGCCCGCCCTGCTCTCCCACCGCCCCCTGAGCCGCCGCCGCGGCTGCTACACCTCGGCTATATCTCGGCTGTATCTCGGCTATATCTCGGCTCTATCTCGGCCTTGCTGCCTGAGCCGTGTGTGCGTGTTGTGCGCAGTTGCGCGAGCGATGGCAGCCTCCGACCGACGATCCGCAGTGGCGTAACTTGGCTCTCGCCAAGGGCCTCGTCCCGTCCTTGCTCAGTCAAGCCGCCGCTCGGGCGGCGGAGCCGCTCGCCCACACCACGCGCACGCTGGTGCAGCTCGAGGTCATCGACCACGACGTCGGGCAGACCGCGCTCTCGAACTATCTGAAGAACTGCCTCGCCAAGTCCAAGGGCATCTCGGGCCCGTCGTACAACCCGGCCAACGGCTCCCACACGCTACACCGGCACATCGCCGCGGCGGTGCCCGTCGCCTCGCTCCTGAAGGTGCTCTCGGCGCTGCACCGCACGCGGGAGGAGCCCGAGGCGGCGCCTTCGTACACCGAGCTGCAGGCGAGCGCCGACGCGTCGGCGGCCGCCGCGCGGCGACATAGGGTGATGCGGCACGGCGGTAGATGGCCGAGGATGCAGACGGACCGTGGTATGTGTGTTGTGTATATGCTCATATCCGCGTTACCACAAAACGGAGGGGATAGGATATATGATCCGCTTGAGCAGCAGGCACACACGACACACACGCCAAGCGCGTGAAGTTGTCGCTCGGGTTGCCTGAACTAGATGACATTCCCATATTCATTACTAGCGGCTAGTTTGTCACATCACGTGGATCGATGACCCGGAATATGCCGCAAGACACGGCGCTTTCAAAAAAGCCAATCCGATCTTGGACGCATCCCTCGACGCGAAGAGCCATGCTCTCACCAGAATTGCTTGGACCTCTCCTGCAAGTAGACCGAAACATTCTTGGAGCTTCCCCAGCCGCT